GTTCCTTTTTATTCTTTTAGCCAAGTGATTTTTCCTTGCGACCTGTTTACACTGTCTGAAACAAAGAGATAGATTTTTGTCGTACCTTTTTTTTTGTTAGACTCTATAGAGCAAGCATGTCACCAATTTGGCTACAACGGTCTCCATGTGTATATTCATTTAGTGTGCTAACTAGAGAAGACATGGCAGGCACACATAGGCAGTAATGGTCGAACCAAGGACATTTACACTGGAGATGTTGTTTTACTCTAATCCACGCAAACTCTGAAGTTTTCACTTCACTGAATTTAGGTGGTGCTTTGTTTCTTCCAGGAGGAGAAAATGTGCTGAAACTGGATGTATCATGGTCCTTTCTTCTTCGAGGAGACGGAGCATGGCGCAAACTGTGGGTTTGCCTATACGTGATTCTGAAGGAGGATCAGCTCCGCTTCGATGCATATTGCAGCAGGCATAGGCACCGTGCCTATGGTATATTGAGCTATAGTTCCGCAGACGCAAGGTATGCCTTTTTATTGTAGGGCAAGTATAGTGTATTGCCAACTCAATGCATGTTCACATGCTGCCTGGTCTCGCCTCTATTTTTTTTATCAGAGCTCACTGATCTCATCTCACTGGCAGTAACTTGTATGCACACTGCTATGGGTTTAGTGCAACATTCAGAGTGTATCATGGTTGGAGCTGTCGCGTGAAGCTGGATGTTTTTTTGTTTAACAGATGAATGTGTTTATGAAAAGAGGAGATATAATCTGTCTATTCTAGTGTAAGTAAAAAAGCTTGACTACCTTGTAGAATAACTCCACTAGTTCTAGCACCAGTGATCCTTTCTTTTTGGTTGGGAGCTGCACAATGGATCTCATATACACTAGATGGAAAGTGCGGCTTGCCGCACCCCGCACCCCTGCCGGGTGTGGTCATATCCAACCCGGCGACCATCCAACAAAGTAGGTTACGCTTCAAATCTGATAGATTGACATCATACCAAAAGCAATGGAGAATTGCAGCACATAATAACTAATTTACAATGCAGTGACATTATATCCAACTTGGTAGAACGCGATTCATATTCGATTCAGGCTGTTACATGAATAGCAAAGCACGATGGCAGCACCCACCCAGTCCACTACTGGTTACACAATATATATTCGACAGATTGAAGGAAATATAGTCCATTGATTCCATCATTAGAATTTCTCAAAGATATAGGAGGAACTAAGCACTAATAACAGTAATGGTTTGGTTAATTACATCACTTTGAGCATGTCATAGAAATGATGTCGGTGATGATGTAGTATATGCGGCTACACATCAAGTATATTTGTTGTTGAGTTGTTGAGGTGCTCACAACCCAACTAAAAATGATGTCGTGAGTTGGGGCTTGGACCATCAATGTGGTTATGGTGATGCTGTTCACGGCAAGAACCAGTTCCTTGGATTAGGATAGAAACATGAGCACAAGAAAAAATAGAACTTAATAAGTATCTGACCATAATTTCAAAACCATCATCATCCCTAGAAGTAGAAAAGGTCGGAGAGGTCGCCTATGTATAAAAATTTGGCAAGTTAAAGGTTTCAGGCCTAAATAAGCATCACCTAATCGTTGATATTTTGAAAAAAATTGCATCTTACATTAATTAAACATCATAGTAAAGCAAAAGGTCACATATGACACAGTTTGATGTATGGAAATCATGTAAGAATCACTACGGAGTACTTCACAGCAGAAAGTAGTGGCATCACGGATTCAAAAAAGAGCACATTTTCTTAGTCCAAATGAATCCATTGGTGAGATAGGAAGAGAGCAGAGGAGCATTGCATCTAGGAGACAGTGCTAACAACCCAGTGAAACAAATCATGTTTAATGCACAAGCAGTATTTGGTTCTGCTGCAATCTATATTGGGTGGGTTGTGCTGTCTCCGG